GATGCCCAGGCTCCCTGAATTGATGTGCACTAAAAATGCCCACTAGTTAATACATGTTAAGCAAAACCATCCAATATTGATTTTACAATTTCAAGAAATAGAATCAATCTTTCATGAGTCCTTGTGATTAATTAATATAACTGCTAAATAAATAATTTCAGGTAATTAATAACTAAAATGACCTGCTTTGCCTCTCAGCCTTTAAGTTTTGTTTTATCTTTGTCTCACTTGCGGAACTTTAAATATAATCAGCTTTGTTACCATGTACTTGCTGATTTCAATCAGTAAAAACTCATTTCTTTAGTCTTTCACTTGAAAGTGGGAAAAAACAGAGCTGGCTGAGCCTTTCCCATAAAAGATGTCTTTTGTTACTGAGTTTTTTTTAAAGCTTTTTCCAAGTTCCTCAATATTGCTCTTGCATTGAGAAGAGGACTCAGTATCCCATGACTGTGGGCAGACAATAAACTGAATGTGACAATTGAACCTGTTTAATCAGTCTCCTCCTTTTTGTGTACTCAAGGAGTGATTGCCTGGGATCCTGCAGAGAATAAAGTTCCTTATTGGCTAATTAGCAATCATCTGCTGTAGATCTGGCCAGAATTAAATCTACATTTGTGCCTTTTAGCAGCTAATTAGGTATCAATCTAATGACTTGACACTTTCCCAATTGTTATCTGCAAATTTCATCAAATGATTGACTTCCTTTCCAAGTTTTTAGTACAAATATTAATATTGTGAAGCCTCCAAATGGTTTCTCCAAGACCCCACTGTGAAATTCACTGCTGATCACTGGTATTTTAATTTTTTTGTGTGTGTGTGTATGTGAATATCTACTTCTGGAAACAGCTGCTGGAGAATCTGGAATCCTTCTGTGTATGTGTCTTGTTAGTTTTGTGTCAACTGAGTTTTTAATCAAACTGTCATGTATTACTAAGCAAAAGACCTTTCAAAGATCCAATTATACCCACAGCACTATTTTAAGCAACTCAAAGTTTAATCATACCAAAATATGATGTACGCTACTTTGAAAATATTTTAACCCACACAACTCTTTGTTTACCACTAACTGCATTTCTTTCCTCTATTTTTGGAGTCTGCCACAGACATTGCATCATTTCATTTGGGAGTGCTGTCAGCTGAGCTGGCCCATAATTTCACAGGTCATTTTATTTTCATTGCTCAAATTTTTAGAGACTGGAAACTATCTACAGTTCTTTTGATGTCTTCACCCACTTTTCAAGGTTTATTAAAGTCAGCAGTAATAACATAGAACATTCTTAAACAACCAGCACTTTTAAAAATACCCATTCTGTAATTTTAAAGACTTACTTTTTGGAGTAAGTCTTACTTACTTATTGGAAGTACAGATTCCAATAAGCAATCTGTACTTACTCATTAGAAATACAGATTGGTTTGGGGGTTTTTGTCAATTTCCCTTATTTTTTACGGATATTTATTATTATAAATATGAAGACATCTCTGGAAGTTAGATTTTCTCCTTTATAAAATATAAATTATAATTCTTCCCCATTGCAGCAGTGTGACAATGCAGGGAGAACATCTCTTTTCATTGCTTTACTGTTAAGGACAAAAATCTCCAGCTTTATTCCCTCCAATTTCTTCAGCTATTTTGTTAGTGCAATTGCTAGTTATTTTACTTAGATTATGTGTAAAAGAAGCGAGAAATCTTGATTATCTCAAGATTCTGGAAAATTCTGCGAATAGGGGAGGAAAATTGCAGGACAGCTGATATGCAGCTCAAAAACTCCTCAAAACCTGAAGGATCTTCTCTAGGGGGAAGAAAACCCTGGAATTTTATTCTTGGCAGATCTTTTCCAATCTTAATAATTCTGAGTGACCACGTCCACTGCAGTTATTTTTAGGTTCTTTATGAAATTTGAATTTTCCTCAGCATTTACTGAGTCTTGTGGGACAGTCACCTAAGTTTATCATTTATGGTAGAGAGAATTTTTTTTTTCCTAAAATCAGGCAAACATATTTTTAAAGAGGTCTAAGTAGCAGAACACCATTACTTCTTGCAGCAAGTCAAAGGCTCTGTTGGCTGTTAGGGCCAAAATCCATCATTATATCTATAATTCTTTGTGTATTGCAGGGAGTAAAGGTTGCCTTCTGTACTGTGAAGTAATTTTCCTAGTGGTGCTTTTATTTGAGATGTTAATTTTCCTTCTTATGATTTTTTTTTTTTTAATTAACATAACATTTGGAAAAGTGCACAGGTTTCTGTGCCCAGATTTTGTAAGGAATGAACACACTCAGGGCTTGATTCACTGCTGCCTCATTCCAGCTCTGTGTGGCAAAGCACAGCTTCAAGCTGGAGCAGCACAGTGGTGTGGGAAGATCTAAATGTTAATTGGGATGATGCTCATTCAGTTTAATTCTTCTTTGCTGAGCCATAACACAAGCAAGGAGCTGGAGGCTGTAAGAAAATCATGGGAAGTGCTCAGGTGGCCAAATTGGATGCATGGAATGACCACCAGCAGATTTTGCAGAACACTCACAGCCTCTGGTGGGGTTTTATGTCTCTTTTCTGGTTCCAAGATTTGGAAGTGTTTTGCAGGATAAGTGGATGTTAGGATTAAAGACTGAGTATCTGCATCCTAAAATGTGATTATTAATGGTGAAAACAGGGAGCTTTTATCTACTCTAACAGCACATTGAAACTGAAGAGAGTTAAAATGGTATTCAAATACAAACCCTGGTTTCCTAAAAGGTGTCATTGCAGCCTGCATCTGATTGTGAAGAATGGAAGATTCTGCATGCCCTCATCACTACAGTCCTTAAAATTACTGATTGCTGTGTTCAGAGGTGTAGATTGAACTGTGTATGGGTTTAAACATCTGATTTTGGTTCCCCCTCATTTTAAAATGCTTTCTTTAATTATTCTGTTTCTTAATATATGTAAAACAGCTACTTGTAGTGTAAAACGTGAAGCTGTTGGAAACCTTCAGCAACCAGAATTCATTCAGGACTGTGCAATAGAGGCTCAATCCAGTCAGTTTATCCACACTGATTATGAAGTAAACACTATTTGATGGTATCACTTTATATTCAATATCAATCCACCAGTGTTTCAAAAAGAATCATTTAACAATGAATAATGCTTGATTGTAGATCTCTGTAGTAAATTAGAATATCCTAATTTAATAGAGTGCGATCTGTTATTTGCCAACAAACATACAGATTGCCTTATAAATCATGCAGCAGTGTGGTTATAGAATAACACTAGACTGGATTATATTTCATTACTCCCTATTGAACAGTCATGTTTCTGCCATGTAATGTAATTTTCCATCTTTTAACTTCGTTTCTTTTACTAACAGAAATACAAATTAGTCCCAGGGAAAAATATTTACTCGGGGCAGGCAATTAACTGTGCATTTCAGGGAATGGCACCACGTGCGTGAATGTCATAAAAATGCTTTTTTTTTGGTTTTCACCTCACTGTATGTAGCTGTTTATGTGTTTGATGAACTATAATGAGTTTATGGTCAGAGCAGAGGAAATAAAACGTCCCAGGTAAGTATAGATTAATGTGGTTTCAAATTCAGGCTTTCTGTAATGTCTGTTTTTGTTCACATCAGTCACTGACCCTTCAGAAGGAGATTGCTCCTGAACTCTTCTGTTAATGATGCAAAATGCTTGAGGTGAAGTATGGTGTGGCTTTTGTTATTGCCCTGTGACTGTTTGTGCTGCTTGCCTTGCTCAGCATTTATATTACACAGCCATGTGCTCCCAAAATAGGGAGCAGGAAAGGTTTGGAGTGACACAGGCCATTTGTACTAATTAAAAATAGCTGAAAATTTACTGAACAACATGTGGGGTGGAATCAAAGAGGTAAAATAATATTATATTCCATATCATTCCTACAGTCTGGGAAAGGCATAAGTAATTGAAGCAGCTTCCATGGTATATCTGAAAAGCTTTATCACAAAAAAATATGTATTACACTCTTGAGTATTTAAGGAAAGGGATAATTGAACATCATAAGTAGTAACCTGGCTAGCTACAGTCCTTAGGAGCATATTTTTAGTATTTATTACTTTCAGAATATCCACTTGGATCTGGCAAGTTCCTGATTCACATTGTGGAGCATTGAGGCATTGCCTTGGAAGTCCCCATTATGTGTTGAAATCCTTTTGAACATTTTGGCCAGGGGTGTGTGCTTCAGTTCAGTGTGTGGTGGAAGCTTGCTGAATGGAAGTCCCAGGGTTTTGAAGCTCAGCAAGTCCTTGCGGGCTCTTAGAACCTGAGGACACCCAGGAACCTCAGACAGGTTCGTGCATGGGAGAAGCACAAAGGCACAAAAAGCCTGGTAACCACAGAGTAACGTTCCTTGAGACCAGGAGTAACTCACACATTGCAGGAGCTGCCAAAACCCGCAGTTAACTCTCTCATCTTTTCATTTCTGTAGGGGTTTCAGAAGCTCCTTTCATCTTTTCAGATGGGATTCTTTAACAAGCTCAGTGCTGGCCTCACACTGTTGCTGTAGACATCACTGGGGGTGTTATCCTGGGCTAACAGGAATAATTAGAACAAACTGGAACACTTGGGAAAAATCCCTGTTGACCTGTTTTGCAGCTGACGTGTAACAGTAAATTTGTAAAGGTTTAAGTAAGAAGTAAAGGGGGCTTTGTGAGAAAACAGAAAACTTCTTAAACGGTAGAAAAAGAATCAACAACCAAAAAACTCACAAACAGACAAAAAAAAGAAAACCCAGACAAGACAAGGTTTTCCTTTAGCTTATTAAAATTTTAATGTGAGGTACCACAGTCTTACCTTTACTGTTCAGTGCATGGTGTTGCCAGTGCTGGATACTCCAGGGTACCCTGAGGAAGAGGATTTGTTCCATCTTTAATGAGATCTGGGAGGATCCAGGCTCCAGTGAGGAAATGTCCCAGTGATCCAGCCATGGAATAACCTTGCTGTATTTTGTTTTGGAGTAACCTTGCTATATTTCATTTTGTTTTCTGTGTTTGCAGCTGGACAGTGCCACTTCTCTCATCCAGGCAGCTAAAAACCTGATGAACGCTGTGGTCCTTACAGTGAAAGCATCATATGTGGCTTCTACTAAATACCAGAAGGTCTATGGCACTGCTGCAGTGAACTCTCCAGTTGTATCTTGGAAGATGAAGGCCCCCGAGAAGAAACCTCTAGTAAAGAGAGAAAAACCAGAAGAATATCAGACAAGAGTGAGGAGAGGGTCCCAGAAGAAACATATTTCCCCTGTACAGGCCTTAAGTGAATTTAAAGCTATGGATTCATTCTAAACCACTGAGCTTTACCAGGAGGGTTTTATATTCTTTTTTGTATGCGTACCTGCCGACTTGTGTGCGTCTGGCATGGGGTGGGGGGGACAAAGTGACAATTTGCATGCGACCTGAGACTCTATTCCAGTAAATAACTCTCTGCAGTGCCCAAAATTCAGGGCATTGCCTTCTGATGTTAAGTGGACTTAACTCCAAGCTTCCTTTTTAAACTAAATTATAGCATTAAATTGGCCAAAGAATTTGCGTCACGGGGGTATACGTGTGGAATAAATGATAAATTCAAGTCTAAACCCCGAAATTTTTATGCATGCAAGAAACATTAGGTTGGCAGGTATATTAAGTGAAAAATAAAAAAAAAAAAAGGAATTGTAATGGTAGACCATAAAGCTTGTATTGCTTCTGTTGCAGTGCAAAAATGTACTAGCCAATATGCTTCAATGTGTGGCCCAATAATGAAATGATATAACTTTTAAGTCATCTTCATTATAGTATGTGAATTTTTAAAACAGATTCAAACTAATTCATCTTAAAAATGCTTCTTTTGAACCAGATTTTGTTCTTTATATTCTAGTAGTGTTATGACTGCTCACATTTCAATTAATCCCATTAATATGACCAGAGGTTTACTTTTGCCAATTGAATTCCTTATGGTGGAGTATGAAGCACAATATGGTGATTGACATTGCCTTTTATATTCTGATTATTATTCTGATTATTATTATTATTATTATATTAGTAATAGAAGACCTGGTGGTGGAATGTTTAGAGACACGGAAACTGACAGTGTGAGAATTTAGAGGCAAATATGTAGGTGTAGCTTGGATTACAGGTATCTGACATACCATTGTAACCACTAACTCAATAAACTCATTTAACCTTGGAATCCTCAATCTGGCTCGTCTCCTTTAATGCACAGGTATCTCCTGAATCATAGTTGATGTATAGAGTTACTAATTCTGCTTTGTGCTTCATTTCTTATTCTTAATTTTTGTGAATTTTCTCATTTTTTAATAACCAGAATAAGCCAAACATGGTCAGTGAGTCAAAAGCAGAGTTTAAATCCGAGACAGATTTAACCCTCAATACATATGAGACATATGTGTCATGAAATTATTTGTTTGAATGCAACACCTCAGAACAATCATAAAGATAATTCAATTTATTCACTTGTAAGGTTGGCACTTCACAATCTTGGAATCACCTATTGTGCCATGCTTTACAGACCTGTACAAAGTCCACTGCACAAATATCTACTTTTATTCCCTTTTGACACCAACACTTACATAATTACAGAGCCTTTATAACCATTATCAAAAAGTCTGGGTGTATATTTCAAAGACAACAATGAGCATCTAGTAATTTTCCTTGTAATTAGATAATCAAGTTAAGGGAACATTTGTGGCCTCACAGGGGATTTGAAACACTGTGATAAACACTGAGCTCCAGCAATAGTGACAAGTGTAGCCCTTGCAGAGTTTTTGAGAGATGTTTGGATGTTGTCTCAGATACGCTGATTATTCCTCAGAATAGCAAAGCACCAAATTTTGTTCTATTGCCCTCCTACACAGTCTATGTAAAGAAATGTACTCTCAGAGGTCTTTTAGGAAATTACTATTTTTGCTTTCTTTAGTTGCGCTGTGTAATAAAAGCAGCTCCCCAATCAGAGCTGGAGAGTGTGGGCATGACCAAAATATTTGAGATGTGGGGAAGTCCTTGCAGAGCTTTCCCTACAAAGCCCTGGAGTCTGACATAGGCTGACATTGCTTGTGGTAACAATTAACCCCCTAAAAGTAATTGGGATCTTTACAAATGAGGCTACAGAGACAAAAGGCAGATACAGAGTCTAAAGACAAAAATAGCAAATAACAGACAAGTAAAAATGTCCTGGCATGCTGCGTGAAAAAGGAAAATAGGCAATTTACCATGAAGAAAAGTAATAGCTCTTCTTCAGAAGTGTTTCCTCTGAAGTTCTGATGGATTAACTCAATGGTTGCTTTAAAATGATGCTGTTGCTCTAAAAGGCATCTCAAATTTGGAAAAGTTTAGAGGAAAGCACGGAGTCTAATGGAACCTGTGAACATGTGGACTCTGCAGTGCTGGGGGCTCCATGGATAAAGAAAAGAGGGAAAGGAGTCTGGGACCAGGCACTCACTCAGAAAAGCCACTGGGTCTGAAATGCTCCAGGAAAATCAGTCAGTGAGGGAAGAATCCAGAGGGATTTCGGGAAAATTAGTCCATGGCCATTAGAGTCCTACTTTGGGATGGATTGTTTGCCTTTTGTCCATTTATTCTCTAAATACCTTCATGGTCACACAATAATAGTGTTGATAAATGATAAAATAATGCACATGAAAAAATGGGCCAGGACCCAGCCAGGATGTGCCAGTTCAGTGCCCAGCTCGTGCAGTAAAGCCAACAGGATGGGGACAGCTTTGACAGAGGAAAATATTGGGTGCCTGTGCTTGAATTGTTCATGCAATTTTTATCCACTCATCTGAAACAAGAGATGGAAAAGTACATGGAAACATGAGAAGCATTACAAAATCTGGAATTGCTGTCATGCAAGGAGAGACTAAATCAGGTAAGGCACCAGCAGTTTTGGACTATATGTTCTTTAAGGTCCCTTCCAACCCAAATCATTCCATGATTCTATGAATCTAAATAAGCAAAAATAAGCACTAAATCTAAATAAGCAAAAAGTAACCACTGGCCCTTAGAACTCAAAAATCCAGTGTTACAAAGTGAACGGTTCAACAGCAAGTTCAATATTTCAAAAAAATTTAAAAATTCTTAAAATAAGTAAATTTTGGAATTCTTTTTAATAATGTCATAATTGCCGCAATGATAATTTCATTAACTGCATCAATCAAGAATTAATTCCACAGAACTTCCATCCTGAAATCTTGCAAATCTTACAGGTCTATATGAATTTTGAGTGTAGTATAAAGGGTAGGCGTAAAAAAATAATGTGGATTTTGTAAATGTTCTCTAGAGACATTCCTCCATTGAAAAAAGGGAACTCCACACCTTGCTCAGAAATCTGCAGCCCTTTCTCACGACTATCACCTTGGTTCTCAGCCAAGATGTGTGGGTGTCACACATCTTCCTGTGTACCTGGAAAATGTTCAAGTTGTACCTGAAATGCAAGAGAAGTGAATATATTTATATATTTCTTAATGACAGAACTTAGTTATTTTTAAGTAATTTGCTTCCAGCTGATAAATATACAGCAAATGACTGTTTTGAAGGCCAACATGAAGGTCAGAGAGGCCTCCCTGAGCTGGGGACAGTTTCTGTTGGTGGTTTTAAATTCTGTGGTCACTCTTCCTGTTATTCATATGCCAGGTATTGTATTTTCTCTGTGAGAATTGGACACCCAAGGTACTAAAGTCAGTCAGAAATGTCCGTAGCGTTTCACCTGTGGCCATGAGAAGAAGGCTAGAGAAAAATTTTGGCTTTTCATTTTGATAAAATTCCCATTTGGTAAACTTCCCATTTTTATAAACCATGAGAAAATTACCATGAAGGTATTTCAATTTATAATGCACACCTTCAGCAAGGAGACAGTTCCTGAATTAAAAAGTCAGAGAACACAGAAAGCCTGGAGATAACTTTCAAAATAATTTTCCTAAGTCCTTTTTTCCCCCTTACTTGTTTATTTATTAAAATGAGAATCTAAAAGTGAAGAGTTATCATAGCTAAATCTGTATTTTAGGTCAAGGAGCTACTGAGGAGGTCGTTAATACAAAGGAATAGAGGTTTGAGGTGTAGCAAAATAACTTAGTCCGTTACTCAGACATTGCACTTTTTAATCCTTCATTCCCACTGATCTCAATCTCATTATTGAACTCACTTAAATAAACTCAGTTAAATAAATTTAAGTGCCTGGCTCCATAGGAAGGACAGTTTTCATAGGTTTAAATCTGAACAAATGAAATGCTTAGACAACAAGGGAGTGGGGAATAAAGCATCTGCAGAGATTCACTTTTATCCAGTAATTTCCTGCTACACTGCCCTCAGAGTCTGAAATGCTGATCTATAGTTCAGTTCTTTTACACCTTAGAAGAAGGTGGACCAAGGTGTGGAAACCCAGAGGGAAATAGTCCCATGAAAACAAAAATACAATGGATATTTTTATATCTGGTCCTTTGTTCTGTATCTCAAAGACAGCTGGCCAAAGCAAGGTTCCTATGTCTCTCTGAAACTTGATTTGAATACAGAGGATGGATATTTATAGACTTAAAATTACATTTCTCTATATAAAAACGTAGATTTCAGTCAGATTTTCAAACAAAAATTTAGTAGGTTTGGGTTTTCTTTTTAAATGAACCCTCTGGTATGAATGTGAGTTAAAGGCTTGTAATAGAAATAAGTCAATGTATCTCCTTTCACTCATTTTATAAATACACTCAGTTGTTTTTATAAACAACCCCTGAGACCAGACTGGGCTGTTCATTTAATTTGTCAGATGATGAATAAGTGTGTGGAGAAGGAAGGAAGCTGGAAGAGACCAAAAGGATGAAGTTTGTTGGTTGAAACTTCAACAGGAGCTTGCCCAGAAGGGTAAGGTCAGGTTTGAAGCTGTGTCCAAGGGCAGGAACATTTTCCCACATCATCCTAGCAGGAATTCAGGCACCTCTTTGGAAGTTGAGCACACCCTGATTTGCTGCTGAGCTGCACCTGCACAGATCAGGAATAACCAAGATTTTATTTCTGTTTCTCACTGAATGACCAAGTGCATCCTCAAGCAAGGGTTCACACATTTCTCCTGCTTTAGATATTTTTCCCTTTATGACTCAGTTAACACCAAGTTATGGAGAACTTGACAGCTTGATAAAAGCTGTGGGAGGTAGAAATGTATTTTCGTGCTCTAGTTATACCTTTAAAGGAATAAATATTTAATTACTTGAGGAATGTTTCCTCCTTTTGATAATGTTAGGTGAGGTGTCATAGGTGAGTAGCTGGTACCCAATCTTGTCTTCCCCCTCTGGGCAAAATTTGAAAGTTCCAGTGTTGTTTGGTAAGTCCTGAATAATAATGGGCTCGAAAAGAGTGGAATCACTGCAGAATGTGAAATGTTTATACTTACCTGCTTTATCCCAGCTCACTAAAAATTAAACACAAGGAAGAAAGATAAAGTAGGGTTTCCAAAGCCTCCTAGAATATTCAGAGGTAATGACTCTGCTTGGAGGATGTGTTTGATCTATTTTCTTTTCCTGAAATATTTCATGCAGAAATTATTTAAAAAAAAAAAAAGGTTCTTTGGCCTGCATTTTGAGGAGTTCATATTAAATTATCTTTATGGTTCTGTTTCCTCAGTGAACCATAGAATTGGATGCTTAGCAGGAGGATAAATGAAAACAAAAATCCACTTTTAAATCTTAATCTCTCACAACACTTTTGACTATTTTTCTATAACTGTGACTGTTTTTAATTACGTGTACCCTAGGTGTGCCTGCACAAAAATTTCCAGGATACAGAGAAATGACCAAAAGTCTGACAAGCAGAAATCTACACCCCGGGAAGAAGCTGTTGCATTTATTTAGCTGGGATGTTGCATGAATGTCACACAAGACCTTTGGATGGGATGGGATGAGTTTTTTGAGATCTCTGCAGATCCCAATGCCTGAATTTATATATATATGTCTGTGTATGTGTATTTATGTATACATACAGAAAATTGGTTCCTTCGGTCCAAGGCAGACACTGAGGAGCTGGAGCATGTCCAGACGAGGGAGTGGAGCTGGGAAGGGTCTGGAGGAGCTGAGGGAGCTGGGAAGGGGCTCAGCCTGGAGCAAAGGAGGCTCAGGGGGGCCCTTATGGGTCTGCACAGCTCCTGACAGGAAAGGACAGCCAGGGGGAAATTGGGATCTTATCCCAGGGAACAGGA